TTCAGGGTGAAAGAAACTTTGCCCATTTGTTTCTGCCTCGTGCGGGAATCGAACCCGCGCCACAGAATTACGAATCCTGCGCGGTATCCACCAGGCTACGAGGCCCCTAATGACTGCTGGAGCAGTCGTGCACAGTGCACCTTTATCCGTGACGCTGTATGTTTTATTGTGAATGAAATGAATGGATGAGTGAGATTTTTTAATGTTTTTAATTGTTTAAAAGCTTTAATCTTCTTGTACTAGATTTATTTTTTCCCGGGCTTATGTGTGTCTGCCCAATGCATGATAGGATTAAGGGAAGGGGTTATCTTGAGGTTATCTTGAGATGATTTCGGGGCTTTAGTGCCCCCGCGGCCCGGTCCTCGACCAGGCCTCCACCCCCAGGAAGCAGCCCGTGACAGCTGACTAACACCCAGGTACCTATTTTACTGCTAGGTAACAGGGGCATAGGGTGAAAGAAACTCTGCCCATTGTTTCTCGCCGGCGCCTGGGATCGAACCCAGGACCACAGGATCACAAGTCCCGCGTGCTGTCCGCTCGGCCGACCGGCTCCCCGGGTAACGAAAATGAATGAATGAATTTTAGATATTAGAGAAAATCATATCTGTCTTGGCCTAGGAAACATAATAACATACGAATCAAGGAAACTAAGTACTTTAATTGTACTAAATTAAACATAACGTGCAACAACGGTGTTTAAATTATTATTGAACGATTTCACTATTACCTAAATGCATTTTGTGTACTCGAGTAGTAACATATCAGGAACAGTGAGTCAAGTTTTAGTCTCCGTGGTGTAGTGGTAAGACACTCGCCTGGCGTTCCGCGAGCGCTATGTCATGGGTTCGTATCCTGGCCGGGGAGGATTTACTGGGCGCAATTCCTTAACTGTAGCCTCTGTTTAACGCAACAGTAAAATGTGTACTTGGATGAAAAAACGATTCTTCGCGGCAGGGGATCGTATTCCAGGGACCATAGGATTAAGGACTTGCCCGAAACGCTACGCGTACTAGTGGCTGTACAAGAATGTAACAACTCTTGTATATATCTCAAAAAAAAAAAAAAAAAAAAAAAAAAAAAAGTGACACCGGTAGTCTATAATCAGAGTATATTGTGATGTGTATTCATTTAGAAAACCTTAGTCAAGCACTTCTCTTCAAATACGCGTCTTAAATTATTTTTCCCGCCATAAGCTTTCTATAAACAAACACCCTTGTTTAGATATAATGCCATGTGGCTGTTGTAAAACTGTATAAAAGAAAACAATTCATTGAAATTGAAATAAGTTTATTGAGGTAAAATATACACAAAGGGATGAGGTAGCTCAAGCTATTCTCACCCCGTTCAGTACATCGTGTTAATACATACATAGACACACATCACAAACAATAAACATATTACCAAACATTCTGAGAGATAAACATATACATTTCCTCCTTTACACAAGTAAACAATTCATTGTTGCAGATGTGCTAAAGGTCCGAGGGAGCGTTCAGTGACCTCTCTCTCTCTCTTGTTCCCCACCCACCCCCTTTCACAAGGTCCCCCTCCATAACTCCAGCCCCCCCCCCCCCTCAAGGTCCCGTCCCTTTTGCCGACCCCCCCCCCCCCCCCACAAGGTCCCCCAGCACTCCCCCACAACAACCTCTAGGAAAGCTGCTAACCACACCAGTCGTACGAGTCATACAATTTTAAGTGATCTCACGTATCCAGCTGTCTTCCTGAAACAGTGACCTCGTATGTACAATGACGTCGCGCATAGCTCGATCAGTCACTTGGGTCAGACCAGTATCTAGATAGGCAACCTCATGTGTACAGCCCTCGACCTTGGCTAGGAGGACCTCTGACCAACCAGTTGTATGGGCTTCCTGTCCTCGATTCACCTCTCGTCCTAAGCAAGGGAAGGGAACTACCTGGGAAAGCACCAAGACATTAGGATTATATAGCACATGGAAAAGATCATTATAAGGATTTGGGATGGTGCACAACCACTTGAACGGTCGGGGATTGAACGCCGATCTGCATGAATCGACACCGTCGTTCTACATTCCAGCCCAAGTGGTTGAAACAGAGCCAACAATAATGATGTCTAAACTGATAAATTGTTGATTCTTGTGAGTTTGTTAACCGGAATAAGGTATTAATTTTGTGGGTCGTCACCATCATAGTACTGGATGAGAGTTGTCACCATCAATGATACTGGAAGTGGGTCGTCACCATCATAGTACTGGATGAGAGTTGTCACCATCAATGATACTGGAAGTGGGTCGTCACCATCATAGTACTGGATGAGAGTTGTCACCATCAATGATACTGGAAGTGGGTCGTCACCATCATAAATACTAGAAGAGGGTCATCTCCATAGTGGGTACTGGAAGTGGGTCATCACCATCATGTATTTTATACACATAAAGCTTTAATTTTCCAATATTGTCAATAATACATATAGCTTAAAGTGGGCGAGATTGTGTCTGTGACCACCTATCCAGTTACTTCCAGACCTAAAAGTGCTTAACCCGAGTGACCGAGCGAAGCGCACATATCCACTGCGCCACCCCAGTCATATGTACTTGTTCGCCAGGTGATATATGTATTAACCTGCATTGCCTATTAACCTGTTTTCTGAGAAATCACATTGATCTTTAACATCAGAAACTTGACACTCAAACTGTATTCAAAATATTCAGTCGTTGCCAACTCTTGGACTCCCGTTACCGGATGAAGTCATGAGATAGCTATATGGACTAGGCTATACCTGTCTGCGCCAGGAGGAACCTCTGGCTTAGAGAAAACCGCTTTGCCAAGGGGGCCAGACTATGTCGACGTGGTCAATAGATTCAACAGTGTTTACCCTGACATGACGAGCGATAGACGCATGCTTTAGCAGGAGAGTTAGCGAGCGTCATCGTGGGCATCTCAAGGGTCAGGCGCTTTCTACCAAACTTTCTCCAGCGGGTGAAAACTGCCTCACACTTACATATCGCGGTTGGGTGTCAACTGCTGCTCGGTTCTTCTTAACTAAATAAATAATACAAACTAAACACTCTGGAAAATACAACCTTCAATAAATCAATAAACAATGAAATAAATAAAATGGTGAATTGAATGAAATAATAAAATATTAAATATATACCTTGTATATAATTATTATTATAATCTTTCTCAACCTGTGGAGCTTCTTGGGAATTTCCGGTTCTTTTGTTATGAGGTTGGTTGATTGATGAAGGTTAAGCCACCCAAGAGGTGGCACGGGCATGAATAGCCCGTAAGTGGTGACCCTTTTGAGCCATTACCAGTATCAAAAGCTGATACTGGAGATCTGTGGAGGCGCGACTGCACCCTGCGTGACGGGAGATGTCTCCCGGACCAAGTGGTGACCAGATGGTGATGAGGTTGGTGCACCATCAGTCTTTATATGAGGGACTGTTGAGCAGCACGGTCGCACCGCTCCTGTGCCAGGTAAGTCCACTACGGGCTCACCATAGCCCGTGCTGCCTGGAACGTGTTCCAAGTAGCTGAATCTATAAAAACAACAACGTTCCTGGTTCGTCTGTACGTATTATTAGATACGCCAGCACGTACGCACGCAAGCACACACAACGTTCGGAATACACAGTTCACGGACCCGGGTTCAATTCCTAGCAGAGAAAAGCAGATGGGCAGTTTCTTTCGCCTGATGCCTGTTCTGTGTGTGTAGTCGATATGATGGTGAAAAGTAGGTCGTTAGTCACTCTCTCTCTCTCACACACACGCACACACAACACACCAAACACATGCGATATATCACACACACATCACACATGAGATATCACACCAAACCTGTCTCCTGAAGCCCACATAAAAAGAATAACTTCTGCGGCATACCCGAGGCTGGCTAACATCAGAACAGCGTTCAGGAACCTGTGTAAGAAATCATTCAGAATCTTGTACACCACATATGTAAGACCAATCCTGGAGTATGCGGCCCCAGCATGGAGCCCGTACCTTGTCAAGCACAAGACGAAGCTGGAAAAAGTTCAGAGGTATGCCACTATACTAGTCCCAGAACTAAGAGGCATGAGTTACGAGTAAAGGCTCCGAGAGATGCACCTTACGACACTGGAAGACAGAAGAGTAAGGGGAGACATGATCACTACCTACAACATCCTCAGGGGTATTGACAGGGTAGACAAGGATAAACTATTCAACACTGGTGGTACGCGAACAAGGGGACACAGGTGGAAACTGTGTACCCAAATGAGCCACAGAGACGTTAGTAAGAACCTTTTCAGTGTCAGAGTAGTTAACAGGTGGAATGCATTAGGAAGTGATGTGGTGGAGGCTGACTCCATACACAGTTTCAAGTGTAGATATGATAGAGCCCAGTAGGCTCAGGAATCTGTACACCAGTTGATTGAGGGTCGAGAGGCGGGACCAAAGAGCCAAAGCTCAACCCCCGCAAGCACAATTAGGTGAGTACACACACACACACACACGCAAACACAACTAGGTGAATACTAGATGAATACACACACACGGCCGGTGGCTGAGTGGACAGCACGCTTGATACGTAGTCATATGGACTGGGGCTCGATTCACGGGGCCGGCAGAAACAAATGGGCAGTTTCTTTCACCCTGATGCTCCTGTTACCTAACAGTAAATAGGTACCTGGGAGGGAATTACCTGGGAGTTAGACAGCTGTCACGGGCTGCTTCCTGGTGTGTGTATGTGTGTGTGTGTGGGGGTGGGGGGGAATTAGTAGTTAATAACAGTTAATTGACAGTTGAGAGGCGGGCCGAAAGAGTAGAGCTCAACCCCCGCAAGCACAAATAGGTGAATACACACACACACACACACACACACACACACACACACACACACACACACACACACACACACATACACACACACACACACGCACGCACAAACGCAGTTCGTAGTTAGGTTGTGAATAGCTTAAACCATGCTAATGTTGCGTAATCAGCATTACACAACAACAGTATTTTATTGATGCTTCTAGTTTTATTATTGCAGAATTATCCAAAATGTTTATGTGGCGTGTAATGATGGGGGCGGCGGCGGCGACGGTGGTGATGGCGGCGCCAGGCAAGCCGGAGGCCAGAGAGGACACGACCCAACTGGCCGCCGAGCACCGTAAACCAGTCGTCAGCGTCACTCCTCACCCTGTCAACGACCTGGTGGACGCGTGAGTTTCTGTTAGGTTGGCTTGTGTGCTTGCGGCTCCCACCGGGTGAAACATGTTTGAGTAACGTTCAATGAACGTATAATGTGAATCAACGCTGATTAAATTTTGTATCAACGTCGGTTTTCCAGATTTGCTCTATGAGGATGGGGGGTTTATCTATAAATTCATACTAACGTATGTTTTCGTTTGACCGCGAGAACGAATATTCCTGTCAACATCCTAGCCCAGACAGTAGCCTGCCGGAGATTTCAACTCCGGCTGTATAGTGATCCATAACTGTAGGGTTCGGCCCCCTCCCCACAGACACAGGTGAGATGGGATTGGGTGGAAAATATTACTGCCTACTGAATCAGGCACGTTCACGAGCAGGCGTCGACGTCCCTCAATTGGTGACATAGTTCCCGTTGCTAATCAGTTCATAGTAAACATTTGATTAGCTACATTATGGGGCCTCGTAGCCTGGTGGATAGCGCGCAAGGCTCGTAATTCTGTGGCGCGGGTTCGTTTCCCGCACGAGGCAGAAACAAATGGGCAAAGTTTCTTTCACCCTGAATGCCCCTGTTACCTAGCAGTAAATAGGTACCTGGGTGTTAGTCAGCTGTCACGGGCTGCTTCCTGGGGGTGGAGGCCTGGTCGAGGACCGGGCCGCGGGGACACTAAAGCCCGAAATCATCTCAAGATAACAAAGGGTGGGAATATGTGCAGAAAGGGACAGTGTTATGGCATATGATTTAAAGAGCAAGACAGGAGACCGTGCGATTAGCTTGGCTTGAAAGAGAGCTTGAAAGAGAGAGGAGGAAGTGCTTGATGGGGGTAATTTCAGTGACGTGTACGAGGAACACACACTCGAAACCCACTCTCGTTCTCTAAATCTCTCAATCTCTAACAACTAAAATGATACAACTGTTTCGTTGTAGGGAAGTGTAGTCCATACAATCCCAACTATTTTTTGTAATTTTTTTATATTTTTAAATATCGAGTTTAATATATTTATACTGTATACAAGATATTTGAATTATTATTATTATATTATATTAAAAACATAAATTATTGATTTAGTTATGATGTAATGTAGTAGTAATGGTGTAAAGTTATGATGTAATGTAGTAGTAATGGTGTAAAGTTATGATGTAATGTAGTAGTAATGGTGTAAAGTTATGATGTAATGTAGTAGTAATGGTGTAAAGTTATGATGTAATGTAGGAGTAATGGCTCATAATTTGCTTATACATTTAAGTCTGTGAAACTATTCTATTGTGTCTGATTTGTAGATATGTTAATCCCTAGACCCTCAGTATGACAGTTGATGCGGCGATGTATACAATACAATACCCACTTCTATTTTCTTGATCACAAAGTTACGTTTGATAATTTTTTTGTCAACCGCAGCTCCTACTTGCTGAATAACTATTTTTTATGACTGGTGAACCATTTCTCTAACGACCTTTTCTTTTACAATGTGCTGCAAGGTCGTGTTGTTGCTCAGGTAGTTGGTGTGAGTATTGTTATGCCAAACATGTAAGGTCTTACATTTTTCAATATTGCATTTGCCACTCTCCTGACCATTTGTAGAGGTCACGTCCCGCCAAACACACACCGAAACTACGACGTTGTTACAACGTTCGAACAAGTTTTAACACCACCTAACCAGTTATAACAACCAATATAGCAAGTTGTAACAACGTTCTAATACGTCATAAACACGTTAAGCCAAGATGTAACAACTTTATTACAAGTTGTAACAAGCGGAAAATAGAGACAGTTTCGGTTTGTGTTTCCAGGGGTAGGTCCTTTTGTATGGTCTTACTATTGTTTGCTCTGGCTGTTGGATGCTTGTATTGAATTAGTGTAGTTCTATTTTTTAAGTTTGTCGTAGATATAAGCTAGTATTAGTATTTGTAATTTTATTAAATTAAATTATATTTTAAATTATAATAAATTTAAATTTAAATTTAAATTATATTTATTTTAATTATATTAAATTTGTAATTTGTAAGATCTGTTATCAGATTATTTAAGCTGTTGCAAGCTAACTATGGTGTAGGAATTGTTTTTTTTCTTTAGTTATTTACCTGTGCTCAATTGTTGTTCCAGTTGTTAAGCTATTACAATTGTCAGTATATAACAGTCGTTGTCAGCAATTAACAGTTGTTGTCAACATGTAACAGTACTGTAGTTGTCGGCATCTTACAGCTGTTGTCAGCATCTTCCAGCTGTTGTCAGCATCTTCCAGCTGTTGTCAGCATCTTACAGTAGTTGTCAGCATCTTACAGTTGTTGTCAGCATTTTCCAGTTGTTGTCAGCATCTTCCAGTTGTTGTCAACATTTTCCAGTTGTTGTCAGCATCTTCCAGTTGTTGTCAGCATCTTCCAGTTGTTGTCATCATCTTCTAGTTGTTGTCTGCATCTTCCAGTTGTTGTCAGCATTTTCCTGTTGTTGTCAGTATCTTACAGTTGTTGTCAGCATCTTACAGTTGTTGTCAGTATCTTACAGTTGTTGTCAGTATCTTACAGTTGTTGTCAGTATCTTACAGTTGTTGTCAGTATCTTACAGTTGTTGTCAGTATCTTACAGTTGTTGTCAGTATCTTACAGTTGTTGTCAGCATCTTCCAGTTGTTGTCAGCATTTTCCTGTTGTTGTCAGTATCTTACAGTTGTTGTCAGTATCTTACAGTTGTTGTCAGCATCTTACAGTTGTTGTCAGCATCTTCCAGCTGTTGTCAGCATCTTCCAGCTGTTGTCAGCATCTTCCAGTTGTTGTCAGCATCTTACAGTTGTTGTCAGCATCTTACAGTTGTTGTCAGTATCTTACAGTTGTTGTCAGCATCTTACAGCTGTTGTCAGCATCTTCCAGCTGTTGTCAGCATCTTCCAGCTGTTGTCAGCATCTTCCAGCTGTTGTCAGCATCTTCCAGTTGTTGTCAGCATCTTCCAGTTGTCAGCATCTTCCAGCTGTTGTCAGCATCTTCCAGTTGTTGTCAGCATCTTCCAGTTGTTGTCAGCATCTTCCAGTTGTCAGCATCTTCCAGCTGTTGTCAGCATCTTCCAGTTGTCAGCATCTTCCAGCTGTTGTCAGCATCTTCCAGTTGTTGTCAGCATCTTCCAGTTGTTGTCAGCATCTTCCAGCTGTTGTCAGCATCTTCCAGTTGTCAGCATCTTCCAGCTGTTGTCAGCATCTTCCAGCTGTTGTCAGCATCTTCCAGTTGTTGTCAGCATCTTCCAGTTGTTGTCAGCATCTTCCAGCTGTTGTCAGCATCTTCCAGTTGTCAGCATCTTCCAGTTGTTGTCAGCATCTTCCAGTTGTTGTCAGCATCTTCCAGTTGTTGTCAGCATCTTCCAGTTGTTGTCAGCATCTTCCAGTTGTCAGCATCTTCCAGCTGTTGTCAGCATCTTCCAGTTGTTGTCAGCATCTTCCAGTTGTCAGCATCTTCCAGCTGTTGTCAGCATCTTCCAGTTGTTGTCAGCATCTTCCAGTTGTCAGCATCTTACAGTTGTCAGCATCTTCCAGTTGTCAGCATCTTCCAGCTGTTGTCAGCATCTTCCAGCTGTTGTCAGCATCTTCCAGCTGTTGTCAGCATCTTCCAGCTGTTGTCAGCATCTTCCAGTTGTTGTCAGCATCTTCCAGTTGTTGTCAGCATCTTCCAGTTGTCAGCATCTTCCAGCTGTTGTCAGCATCTTCCAGTTGTCAGCATCTTCCAGTTGTTGTCAGCATCTTCCAGTTGTTGTCAGCATCTTACAGTTGTTGTCAGCATCTTCCAGTTGTTGTCAGCATCTTCCAGCTGTTGTCAGCATCTTCCAGTTGTTGTCAGCATCTTCCAGTTGTTGTCAGCATCTTACAGTTGTTGTCAGCATCTTCCAGTTGTTGTCAGCATCTTCCAGTTGTTGTCAGCATCTTACAGTTGTTGTCAGCCTCTTCCAGTTGTTGTCATTTCACTCTTAAAGTGACAACAACTGAATCCTCACTCATTTCCAACACTTATCTCTTGAAGCCTTTCACTCAGTTCCAACACTGCCTCTGGACCGTCTCCGTCACCCACAATGCTTTCACTCAACCCTCTCACTCCAACATTACCACAGATCTCTCCAACCCTTCCCCCTCCAACACTACCATTTCTCTGACCAATTCCAGGCTGCTCAAGTCCGATACCATGTCAGCTGTGGACGAGGCGGCAGCGCGGATCACCTCAGCTGTTGGAGAAGTGGTGGAGGACCTGGGAGACTTTGTAGTGGGCACCGTCAAGGACCTTCCCAACACCATCCGTGAGGTCTCCACCACCGTCAACAAGGCAATGACTGACGGAAGCGAGAGGGTCAGTCAGTCAAATGTTGTCAGTCAATACTTGGCCGAAATGCTTTGCGAATTAGTAGACTTAGTTAATGAGCAATCCAGACTAAATATAAATTTTTTATTTTAAACTATTTACTTTTGATGTGACTGCTTTTATTCACTAAAGTACCTGTTGATGAAGAACCTTTCCAGAAGAACATAAACTGCCAACATGTAACATTCTTAATTTACTCTCCCATGTATGTCCCATCCATGTCACCTACCACCTCACTATTAGAAGATATAAACAGGTGCTAACACAGAATATATATATATATATATATATATATATATATATATATATATATATATATATATATATATATACATATATGTCTTACCTAGTAACCAGAACGCACTTCTCAGCCTACTATGCAAGGCCCGATTTGCCTAATAAGCCAAGTTTTCATGAATTAATTGTTTTTCGACTACCTAACCTACCTAACCTAACCTAACTTTTTCTGCTACCTAACCTAACCTAACCTATAAAGATAGGTTAGGTTAGGTTAGGTTAGGTAGGGTTGGTTAGGTTCGGTCATATATCTACGTTAATTTTAACTCCAATAAAAAAAATTGATCTCATATATAATGAAATGGGTAGCTTTATCATTTCATAAGAAAAAAATTAGAGAAAATATATTGATTCAGGAAAACTTGGCTTATTAGGCAAATCGGGCCTTGCATAGTAGGCTGAGAAGTGCGTTCTGGCTATTAGGTACGACATATATATATATATATGTATGTATATACATATATATATTTGAAGTATGTATATACATATATATATTTGAAGTCTTCTCGAGGCATGCACAAAGGAAGCCTTTCATCAGTCCACAAAGAGACATGTATCTACAAATAGACGGAGTAGCAATGGGCTCCCTTTTAGGAGTGTTATTGCTAATTTTTATATGGGAACCATCGAAGATAGTCTTCAGCAGCAGACAAAAACCAACTGCATACTGCCGTTATATAGATGACATATTCGTCATAGTAAAAGACTAAGACGAACTAATTGATCTAAAAAGCCATCTAGAGAGAGAGTCAGTACTCCGATATATATATATATATATATATATATATATATATATATATATATATATATATATATATATATATATATTTATTTATTTATTTATTTATTATATATTTATATAATTAAATATATAATAATTTATATAATTTATAATTATTATTATATATATATATATAAATATATATATATATATATATATATATATATATATATATATATATATAATATATATATATATATATATATATATATATATATATATATATATATATATATATATATATATATGTCGTACCTAGTAGCCAGAACTCACTTCTCAGCCTACTATTCAAGGCCCGATTTGCCTAATAAGCCAAGTTTTCCTGAATTAATATATTTACTATAATTTTTTTCTTATGAAATGATAAAGCAACCCTTTTCTCTATGTATGAGGTCAATTTTTTTTTATTGGAGTTAAAATTAACGTAGATATATGACCGAACCTAACCAACCCTACCTAACCTAACCTAACCTATATTTATATGTAAGGTTAGGTTAGGTAGCCAAAAAAAGCTAGGTTAGGTTAGGTTAGGTAGGTTAGGTAGACGAAAAAACATTAATTCATGAAAACTTGTCTTATTAGGCAAATCGGGCCTTGAATAGTAGGCTGAGAACTGCGTTCTGGCTATTAGGTACGACATATATATATATATATATATAGACATATGTCGTACCTAGTAGCCAGAACTCACTTTTTGGCCTACTATTCAAGGCCCAATTTGCCTAATAAGCCAAGTTTTCTTGAATTAATATATTTTTTCTAATTTTTTTCTTATGAAATGATAAAGCTACCCATTTCATTATGTATGAGGTCAATTTTTTTTTATTGGAGTTAAAATTAACGTAGATATATGACCGAACCTAACCAACCCTACCTAACCTAACCTAACCTATCTTCATAGGTTAGGTTTGGTTAGGTAGCCGAAAAAGTTAGGTTAGGTTAGGTTAGGTAGGTTAGGTAGTCGAAAAACAAATAATTCATGAAAACTTGGCTTATTAGGCAAATTGGGCCTTGCATAGTAGGCTGAGAAGTGCGTTCTGGCTACTAGGTACGACATATATATATATATATATATATATATATATATATATATATATATATATATATATATATATATATTTATATTACAGATCTCGTTAGATTTATACCAGTAGCTAGAATATGCAGCAGTTGTATGGTGCCCATATCTTAAGAAGCACATTAACAAACTGGAAAAGGTGCAAAGACAGGCCACCAAGTGGCTCCCAGAATTGAAAGACAAGAGCTACAAGGAGAGGTTAGAGGCATTAAATATGCAAAAACTAGAAGCTAGAAGAAAAAGAGGAGATATTATTACTACGTTCAAGATAGTAACAGGAATCGATAAAATTGATAGGGAAGAATTCCTGAGACCTGGAACTTCAAGAACAAGAGGTCATAGATTGAAACTAACGAAACAAAGCTGCATAAGAAATATAAGAAAATTCACTTTCGTAAACAAAGTGGTAGACGGTTGGAACAAGTTAGGTGAAAAGGTGGTGGAGGCCAAAACCGTCAGTAATTTCAAAGCGTTATATGACAAAGAGTGCTGGGAAAGATGGGACACCACGAGCGTAGCTCTCATCCTGTAACTACACTTAGGTAATTACTAACACTAGTTGCCCCAATGAGGACAGGAAGTTGGTGACTTGTCAAAGATCCTCCATTTGTTCAGATGATTTGTTCAAGCTAAAGATACATGCATACATATTTGTATGCATGTATCGACGGATGTCTGACAGCTAAGTGAACAGCGCTTCGGATTCGTAGTCCTGAGGTTCCGGGTTCGATCCCCAGTGGAAGCGGAAACAAATGACCCGTTTCTTTCACTCTGATGCCCCTGTTCACCCAGCAGTAAATAGGTACCTGGGAGTTGGACAGCTGCTACGGGTTGCTTCCTGGGGATGTGTAACGAAAAAGAAGGCCTGGTCGAGGACCGGGCCGCGGGGACGCTAAGCCCCGAAATCATCTCAAGATAAAGATGCATGTACCCGTCAGTCTGTTGTATTTTAGTATATAAATAAATTATGCATTGCATGCAAACTATATGGATCTACTATTTTGTTTCAAACTCGCTTTCAAATCTTGTGTGAGCCTATTGTTTGAATTTGTATACAGTACTAACGAATTTTGCTATTGAAATTGAAATAAGTTTATTGAGGTAAAATACACACAAAGGGATGAGGTAGCTCAAGCTATTCTCACCCCGTTCAGTATATCGTGTTAATACATACATAGACACACATCACAAACAATAAACATATTACCGAACATTCTGAGAGATAAAACATATACATTTCCTCCTTTACACAAGTAGTATGGTATCAGACATACACACAAATACTTTATGACTGAGGTATACTGTATAGACAATAATTTAGCTATTGACGCAGGTGGAAATCATCGTGAAAAGGTTCAGGACAAGACTTGTTAATGAGACGGCTGTGGCAAGTAAGAGCGTCACCAACACCGTGGACAGAGTTCACAAGGCTGCCAACTCCTCCCAGACAGTGGATAGCTTCATGAAACTTCGTATGTTGCCTTTTTTGGGGGTTGGGATTTTAGCTCATTCTGTCTGATTTCTCCAGTTTTCTGTCTGCATATTAGTGCCTTTAGGCACTAATCTGAACTTGACTTGCCTGTAAATCCTACATTTTTCTTTTATCCTGTGTATGTATGTACATTAGCTTGAATAAAATAATAATAATAATATATTATTATTATTATTATTCCATACACGGAGAGTAATCACATTAATGTGACTACATCACTAATAAAATCCGTACGGGCCGTGATAAGTGTTCGAATTTATGCGGTGGGTGTTCAGTCCTAATGCAATACAGTACCTATACCATGTCGTGGTCTAGTCGCAAGAGCATGTGCGTGGAAACACCCACCACATAGGATCGAACCCTCATCATGGCTCCTACAGATTTTCTCATTATTATTATTATTATTCTTATTCTTATACAGTATTATTTGACTCGTGTCCTACACTTCATTGTTTATGGAATTTTGAGCTATAAAGTGTGGGGAGTATTTATTATTCTTTAGACCATTAAGACTATCATATAGTCTAAATGAGATTGTGAGTACAGCTAAGTTATTTTATAGCTACTGTAATAGGTTTCAGAATTTAAAAAGGGTTCTTCTTGTATCTTCAATTGAGTTTGTTTTGACTACTGATTTATTTGAAATACATAATAATTGGTCATATAGTTGTGGTTCTTAGAACCCTATGTACAGATACCATAGGAGAGATATGGATAGATGAGTGTGTGCAGTTTAGATAAATAAGTAGTGAGAGATATAAAAGCAAATCTTCAAAAAATATGCTCACAGTTTCAAAAAATATGCCCACAGTTTCAAAAAATATGCCCACAGTTTCAAAAAATATGCCCACAGTTTTGGATACTTTTATTATGTTTTGTATATACTTTATACTGTAAAAATAGTACTTATATTTTATATATAAAATGTATGTAGGAACATGTTACAGTGGTTACTTATTGGTAGAGTAATTGTATATTATATAAAGCCACTAATTGTGCACAATATTTTGGGCATCATTGAAGTTTAATTTGTTGTCAATGAGTAGGCCTAGAAATTTTGTATTCAATTTTTATTTTGAGTGTTGTTAAATAGTCCCAATGGATATGGTACTCATTTTCGTCAAGATATGAGCGCCAACGTCGTCGTTTTCGTCAAGAAATGAGCTACCAACGTCGTAGTTTCAGTGTGTGTTTGGCGGGGAATTAGGCAACGACACAACCAGTTGCAAGCATATGGTGATTTACAGTCCTTTTATTTTTGTAGGATTAAGTTTGCTAGGTAATGCATAAATCTGAAGCAAAAATCTTTTGCAGAGGAGCGGATTGCAGTGACTATGGGCCGAATTTTTGCCTCCTTTGTATTTAACTTAGACAAGATTGACAGTGCTGTGGCGGACGGAATCAGGTGAGTCATACAGATATCCGAACGGGACATCGTTGTTTATTTATTTCATTTCACCATTAATAATTAATCTTTAAATAAATTTACATTGAGGGTTTCTGTTCATAAATATGGAATAGGTAAATACAGTATAACAAGAATGGTTTTAAAGTTCTTGCAACTTGAGGTCATAATCACTAACAAAATCTTACTTTCTTTGCTTCCATTTTGGATCATTTTTAAGCTGAAATATTTACTAGTAATATGAATTTTTGTAACTTATTCAATAATTGAACTTTGCATAAAAAACAGTATCCATAACATTAATTTAATGTTGGCAGTCAACAAGTTAGTAATTGTCAAAAGAAGGCCCCAAACCGGGAGGGCTATGTAGTACCACCAAATGTGCGGAGTAATCAGAGGGCGCTAAATATCACCAAAGATGCCAATACGAGAACAGAAACGCATAAGGTGAACGATATCAAAAGTATCCGATTCACCAAGAATTCTATCGAGGGACAATTGACCGCAAGGAACGGTCAGAAAGCAAGAAACACGCTCGTCCTGGAAGCCAGGACATTTAAGAAGAATGTGCACGACCGTAGGAGGAACAATGCAGTTTGGACAATAAGAAGCAGGGCGGCGCTCCATCAAGTGACCGTGAGTTAAACGTGTATGGCCAATACATAATCTAGCCAGAGCCATTTCCCACCGCCGGTTACGGTGTTAGGAGGAAGCCCACAGGGACACACGACTCTTACGAGTATGCAGTTTGTTTCCAGTAACAGAAGACCAACAACCTTGCCAACGGGCAAGGATGGAGGAATGAATAACTGCGTAAAAGTCGGAATAAGGAATACCTTTACGGGAGATGGGACAAATGTGGATAGCTTTCTTAGCGGCAACATCCGCACACTCATTTAAAAGAGACACCAACATGGCTGGGAACCCAGCAAAACTCTACCGACTTAAATTTACTGGAGATAAGAAACAGCCAATGTTGAATCTCGATGACCATTGGGTGGACCGGATTAAAGGACCCCAAAGCCATGAGGGCACTACGAGAATCAACTACCCCCACAAAGGAGGATTGACAACGAGAAAGCAGGAGACAAAGAGCATAGAGAATAGCATAACGTTCTGCTGTGAAGATGCTAACCTCCGGAGGAAGGCGACACATATAAGTGTGGTCAGGAAAAAAACAGAGTAGCCCACACCGTCAGCAGACTTAGACCCATCAGTGAAGATGGAAATGAAGTGGGAGTGCGAAGGAAAGTGCTCAAGGAAAAGGCGTTTCAGAACTGTAGGAGGGGTAAAAGCTTTAGTGATGCAGGTCAGAGAAGTACAAAATTTGGGAAGGGGGACCCTCTACAGGGGCAAGGACGGAACAACACGAGGAGAAACATTGGTAATACGAACCAAAAGAGAATCTTGTAAGCAAGACAAATGGACAGAAAGAGGAAGGTGATGAAGAGGAACAGGAACTACAGGAGGGGTAAAAGTCAAAGCATGATAGAGGCGAGAGTGAGGATGCTGTAAGGACCGTGCAAGATAGCGAAGACAGTAGCGATCACGACGGTCCTGGAGAGATAGGAAGCCAGTGTCAGCGTACAAACTGAGGGTAGGAGTTGAACGAAAGGCACCAGAGCTGAGGCGCAACCGAGTATGGTGCAAAGGATCAAGACAGCAAAGAATAGGAGAAGCACAAGAGTATGCAGGGCAACCATAATCGAGTTTAGATAGAACGAGAGAGGAGTTCAAATAGAGGAGCGTGCACCTATCCGCTCCCTAAGAAGTATGGGACAAAACCTTAAGTAGGTTAAGGGCCTTAGAGCATTCAATTCGGAGGTAAGAGATATGGGGCGACCAAGACAAACGAGTGTCTTGCCCATAGAATAGCCCCAAAAGTTTGAGTAAAAGTCATAGCATAAGTCTTAGTTGCAGAGAACTTGAAGCCCAAGACGACACGGCATCAATCGCAAATTGAAGCCGCCATTGAAGGAGAGGCGAATCATCACCTCGACAGCAAAGAGTAAGATCGTCGACATAAAGAGCGGAGAAGATGCCAGAAGGAAGGGAGGAAAGAAGACCATTGAGGGCAACCAGAAAAAGAGTAGTTCTCAGAACACTACCTTGAGGTACACCTTCGTATTGCCGAAAAGAGGCAGAGAGAGCGGTACCAAGCCTGACTCGAAAGGAACGACGAGAGAGGAAGCTTTGGAGGAAGAGAGGGAGATTACCACGAAGGCCAAAAGAATGAAGTTGGGACAGAATATGGTATCTCCAGGTTGTGTCATCAGCCTTTTTCAGGTCAAAAAGGACAGTAACAACGGAGGTCTTCACAGCAAAAGCAGTACGAATATAGACCTCCAAGTTCACCAGGACATCAGTTGTGCTACAGCACTTGCAAAAACCAAATTGAGAAGGAGAGAGGTGGTGATGGTGTTCCAAGAACCACATCAGACTAATTTTTACCATACACTTAAAGAGTTTGCAGACACAACTCGTGAGGGCAACAGGGCAGAAGTCCTTAGGGGATGTCCTGAGAGACCCCGGTTTCTGAATAGGAAGTACAACGGCATCGAGCCAGTCCTCAGGGACTGACGACGACTCCCAGACCTGGTTATACAGACTCAGTAAATACCGAGACGTGCAAGGAGGGAGATGGCGAAGTATCTCATAATGTCATCCAAGCCCGCTGCCGTAGAACTGCAGAGGGCCAGGGCAGACTGAAGTTCAGAGAGAGAGAAAGGATCATTATAGGGAAGGCGGAGATGAGTGCGGAAATCTAAGGGATGAGATTCAAGAACGGGCTTACGAAGAAGGAAGGATTGATGAAGATGAGAACCAGAGCTAACAGAAGAAAAGTGGGAACCCAGTTCGGTCACGACTTGCACTGGGTCCGCCACAAGAATACCACAGAGGTGAAGAACTGGCGAGATATCTGGAACGAACTTACCTGCAATCTTGCAGATCTTCTTCCATATCTGCGGTAGAGGAGTATCGGACGTAATGGTGGAAACGCAAGATTTCCAACTCTCACGCGTAGCTGTACGGATGGTCCTACGGGCCACCGCACTTACTTTCTGAAACAAAATAAAAGAATCGGCTGTCTGTTGGCGTTGGTGTTTCTTCCAGGCTGCACGCTTACAGCGGACAGCCCGAGCACAGTCCGCACTCCACCAAGGAACGCACTTCCGCGTGCCCCGGGAGGAAGAGCGAGGAATAGAGCGGAGGGTAGCATCGAAGATGGTGTCATGAAAATGGAGGAGGGCGCGAGGAAGAGGCAGAGAGGAGGTCAGAGAGAGTAGCACGGAGGGTGAATAGGTTCCAGTCAGCTTTGGCAAACTGCCACCTAGGGAAGGAGAGGGGAGGGTGAAAAGAGAAAAAGGAAATAAGGATGGGGAAATGGTCACTGTTATGGAGGTCATCAAGAACCCGCCACGTGAGATCTAAGTAAAGGGACAACGAGCAGAGAGAAAGATCAAGACAGGAAAGGGTGCAAGTTCGAGAGTCCACATGGGTGGGCTCACCAGAATTCAGAAGAGACAGGGAAGAAGAGAGGACAAACAGTTCGAGAAGGCGGCCTCAGGTGTTTGTCAGAACATCACCCCAGAGGGTATGTCGACAGTTGAAATCACTCAACAGGAGTACTGGCTTTAGCAAGGAGTCCAGGAGGTGCTTAAGATCAGGAAGGGAAAGCGGGACATTTGGGGAGAGATAAATGGAACAGACTGTATACCATTTACTCACAAAAACACGGGCATCAGAACAATGGATAAGCAAGCGATGGAAACAGTAGTGGGACGAAGGGAATATCAGTATGAATCAAGAGAGCAGTAGAGTTATGGGCCCCAGCAAGAGCTGGGGGGGGGAGAAAGAAAAGAATAACGACGAAAGTGACCAGGGCGAGCACCAAGCATCGGTTCCTGGAGACAAACACAAAGTGGTGAAAACTGTGTAATCGGGGGCTACAGAGCCCGGTCTTCCAACACAATCCGACTCTAGGGCTTGGTCGCCCACCCCATGAGCCTGAGAAGTCATAAGAGGAACAGTATTCAGCGACATCGAATCGAGAGGTAATATTTTCATTCACGAATGTCGCCCCGTACCTACCACGGAGCCACAATTAGAGGCAGGACATCCAACAAGAGACATGTTGCCGATCTTGCTGGGGCCCCCTTTTAGGGGTGCTTCGTGAGTATACGCCCCACAAACGCCACCTTAAGAACCGTCAGTCCGTCGAGATCGGGTTCAGTGATGAAAGGAGGATTGACAATTGAAGGGTCCCCTCGCTTGAGAAGTTGAGTACTACAGTTCTACGGGTGCAAGAGTATGCCTCCTCAAACACCCGGGCATCAAAACAAAAGAAGGCCGAAAGAATAATTAAAGCAGGCAAAAGGTCGGCGGGAAATGACAATTAAAAAGAAGAGGGGAAGAGAAAAACGAAAATAAGGAAAAGTCGTCCAGCAGAATTTGTGAGGGCAGCAAGAACATACGGCCACAAAAGGACAGAGGACCGTCCCATGGAGCATCACACTCCAGCAGCCACCCACCAAGCCCCCTCACGACAACAACGGGCCGGACAGGGAGGGTGTGGCAGTCAACAAAGATGCCAATATAAATATTACACCGTGGCATACCATCAACATTATTTTACTTGTGAGCTTCTTGAAGTGTAATGATATACCAAAAAAAAATTGATATGCAGTACAGTATATGTATACTGTACATTGTGGCAGTAAGGAAGGAGGGGATCAAGATGAGAGGTGCACTTCATATTGCATTATCATCATGCCTAACTTGTTCTCTTACTGTCTGCAGTGTGTTACATGTGCCGTACTTATATTCTTGGTGTCTGATTCAGTATAAATTTTTTAAATAGCTTTGACTCTAAATTGTACATTGCTCTACATAATTTGTATTTTTTCTGCTACATCGAGTACATATGTGTTTAACCCCTAAACCTACTTTAATTTGTATTACTGTATATTTTTCATATTCAATTAATTTAAAATATATCTTATGGAGGTTATCTAATCACATGTGAGGTATATATTCTTTGTTCATAATGAAAATATTTTTCATTTCAGGCAAGCTTCCAGTACATCACCTGGTATTTCCTTGACTCCAGTACGTACTCGTCCATCAGAGGAAAATGAAATTGGAAAAATTGCCTGAGCATACAGTACTTACTGCTAAATACATGCAGGATGCAAACTCCTGAAACATTAAATAAATAGTTTCATATAACTTTTTATTTACATGTTAACTGGCAATTATTAAGTTAAAACTACACATTTCTAGCTACACTGATTATGTCTCCCATTTCCTTTCATCAAAGGGGTGGTACATAAAATAGTTATCTGGACTTAGTGTTTGCTTCGCAATAGATATGTTATAGGTTCAAACCCTGTGCTGGCTGTCCAGCATAAGGAATCTGAATCATGTTAATATATATATATTTTTAAATAAACTATTATTATTTTTCATGAAAATCTGCATAGGATACCCTCAGGTATAACAGAGACGTGTGCATAGAACAGACCCCTAGACTCCTCGTTACTTGGGATTATATTTTTAAGCCCAGATAAAAGCCAACTAGTTTCTCGTTAAGAATCTCCAGCAATATTCTCATCATTGAGGCTATAATATATATACAGTACAGTGGTACCTTTGTTTACTATCGTAATCCGTTACCAGAGACGTGTCATCAACCAAAACGAATTTTCCTATAAGAAATAATGTAAATTCAATTAATCCGTTCCACACCCCCAAAAATATTAACTTAACACATATTATACCAAATAACACTCATTTTGTACTAGCTACAATACAGTATGTATATCTTACCTTGAATGTGGACTCTTGTTGGCATATGGAAGATGGTGAGGAAGAGAGGTGTTGGTGTTTGGAAGGGGAGTCAGGCACTGATGATTTTTCTGGAGTACTCTCTCCTACGCTTTGCCTGGATACCATTAGGACCTGCTTGTGGCTCACTGCTTGTTTTCTCACTAAACCTGTCTAGCGGCACTTGTTTTTCCTTACGTTGTAACACCTGTCTGAAGTGAGACATCACATAATCATTAAAAAGCTTAACATAAAGGCCTGCAACAGCTTGATTTGGGTGACACTTTTCAGGAAAACTTTGCAATTCTTCCCATACTGGCCACATTTTCTTAATAAATGAGGACGGGACATCCTCTACTCAACATCAACAACCCTCATCCCATTTTCATGTCTATGAATGATCTCTTCTTTTTCCTCTTATCATCATCCTCACAACTATTTTCTTAGGTTGAACATTATCACTGACTTTCTTGGGACCCAAGGCATGATATATAATAAAAACTCTTATGTTAAAAAGGCAAAAAAAGCAGGCAAACAAACTGAGTGCGCCTCACCCTGTGCCCCCAGCACCATGCACTCGTTCGACCCATACGTGTACGAACAGACGTAGTCTTTCAAGTAAACCGTCGTACACCAATTCAAATTTTATGATGAATTTATATATATATATATAATAATAATAATAATAATAATAATTTTTATTTAGGCAAAGGTACATACATAAAGAGATTTTACAAAGTTTGTTGGCTTTATAGATAAGAGCTAGTACATACAATGCCTAAAGCCACTATTACGCAAAGCGTTTCGGGCAGAAACGGTATACGATTTAACATCGTATACCAAAAAATTTGTATTCTAGGGCAGTCGTCAACCGAGGTTCCACTGTATATAAAATTGTTAGGATCTATTATATCTTAAATTTTTATTATGTTCATCTTGATGTCATCTTTGTCTTCACACTTAATTATAACTTGCATAATGTACTTTTAGTGTCATGTATTATTGGAGTTTTTTTTTTTTAGCTACAGTACTATAATATTGTTTAAAATGGAATACGGAGGTAATGTTAAAGAATTGTATTCTGTAAGCACTCTCTAGCCAGTCTTTATTTTACCTTGCTAAAATGTTAAAAGTTTTTACGAAAGGGTTTAATAAAATATCACATGAGTAAAAATTCTGTATTAATGACTATCTGCCATAGAGGAACATTATTTGCCCCTTAATATCATAACACAAAATGAATTATACCCAATAGTTCCACAAACTTTACAGTACCACTATCACGTAGTGACCAGGGAAACTTCCAAAGTTAATGTTAAAAACTTGTGTACAGTACATCAAAAGAATTGTAATTGACATACTTTTCTAATATGCTCAAATTCTATGCATTAAGATTTATGCATCTTACATGCTTTCTGAGATGCCACAACGCAAAGGAAAATGTCAAGGATAATGGAAGCCCTTACACCCTATGGTCAGAAAATATTTAGAGACGGCCCTTTAATATCTGATACAATAAATATATTTGCTAACTTCTTCCAATACAGAAACATGTCAGAATAATTTATACAAAATAGTAACCTTTAAGTACAGTACAATGCAAAATAATTTAATTCTCTTAGTATAAATGCATTTTACTCTTATTAACAGAGTCCATGAAAAGCAGTTTTCACAGCTACTATCAGTATATGTGAAATCCACATTGTCAGATCTGACTAGAGGATGAATTGCACAAATTTTGTAATATCTTTGAAAACAAATTTAAGTCAAAGCAATATACAGAACTGGATTTATTTTATATTTAACATGCATTAATTTTTCTACACAATACAGTGAAGTCAAAGATTCAATCTTGTAAACATTGCATTCCTGTTTGTCACCAAATTCATTTAGTTAAGCCACTGAACACTTTATATGGGTTGTGCATGGTAAATATTTTGAGATTTAAGTTATACTGTAATCATTATACAATATATCAAGTTAAACTACAAAATAGTGAAGTGCATAGAACATAGGACACACATTGTGATGCTGTGCTATATAATTAAAACAGGTAATGGAAGATCAAATCAACATAACTTGCAATACCAACAGCAAACAATTCAAATGTAATACTGTGGATGTCTTCACAAGAGAGCTGTATGAATTATCATGTGCAGAAATATTGATATTTTTTATTCAAATATCTGCTGGCTTGGCAAAAATATTTAATTTACAATAGTTTTGATTACTCATATTCTGGATCTATTGGTGTGCCACCCTTGAAGTGAGAGGGGATGAGTGGATGGGCAGATTACTGCACATGAATGTTTATAATTATGTATTGTTTACATAAAAAACTGTGGGTTACATATCAATTCCACAATAAGGTTCAAGATCAAACATCACTACTGTATAGTGTGTGTGCCCTGCCCACCATGTGGCCCACTAAACACCTACTTTCCAGGTGTAAATTTATGAGTACAAAAACATACTGTAATAAAAATGTCTGTAATACAGCACGTCATCAAAAATGTGTTAAATGATTCTTATTAATAATTCCCTATTTTGCTGTGCACAAAACAGATCACAATCTGTGATCAGCTGTGCACAAAACAGATCACAATCTATATTCATATTTAGATATACAGTACTGTACTGTAGTTTGTATGGCCAGTAATGCATGCACAGAATGTCACAATAACGTAGCTTAAAATTTATAATCCAGCCCCCCCCCCCCACACACACATGAAAAGAAAGGAAATTTCATGCTTTGGTCAAACCTGGACTCTTACTAAATACTGTAGTGTCAAGTGCTTTAGTTGGGCTAGGTCCAATTGATTAATATTAAGAAAATATTCTATAAATCTGGACTGGTATCGATAAAATATCTTAAATTTGCTGGACTAATTCTGAATTGGAAAATTCACTTAATGGAAATTCCCATCGCACAATACTAAATCCCATCCAGATGGTCAACAAACGGGATACATCTGTTCCACTGCCAACCAAGATTAAACCTTTCATCTATGTATAAAAACAACTTGTAAATAATACAGTTTAATATAATCATTATTCTAACAGATTGATCCTAATTATTATTATGACCCCACAAAATAAAATATACAAAATTCAATTCTATAATGAAATTCAAAGAAATATAAATAAATATTGATAATTAATGAATTTTTGCAATCAACTCATTTTCAAATAATTTCTTAATTACATAATTAATGACTTTTTGCAGTCACTTAGTCCCTTAATCTTCCCAAAGGTACTACAGTACAGGACAACATAGTTTACAAGTCTTCTTGTAACATGTTCTTCATGGTGGTTGGAGGCAAGAAATGACTGTGAAAGATGCATAACCTGGACACCAACTCTTACCAGTTACATAAAAGTTTAATAAGGAGGCAGTATAAAAACAATGCTAAGATGACATACAAAACATGAAGAATCGTAGTTTTAATGTTACTACATGATTTCATCTGATGTAATGTTGTGTGGATTTGTTTACTTTTTAACCATTAAACTGCATAACACATCAATAGCCGGGGTGAGTAACTGTCGCAGAATTGCGCACCACAGCTATTGATGTGTTTGAGTACCGCACAAGATTTAAAAAGTCCCGCGGCTACACAGGGTTCACATCAGCTTCCTCAGGGCTCTTGTAAACAGACGCCATTTTAAATAAAAAATCGTGGGCAACATTCCCGGGTGTGACAGCCTCAGTACTGAGTAAACAACCAAGACTGGCTTACATAGCATAAGCTAACAACTTGTTCAGCTTGTGACCACAGCATTGCCTAAAAATGTCAAATTATATACCTAACTGGTATTATTTAGCAATAATAATATTATAAAATACCTCTGACTGATAAAAATGACCAGGATTCTGATAATAGCAGGATTACATGCTACTGAATAATATTACTGCAAAAAAACAGAGAAAAAATCAGTCGAAGACATTGAAATAATTAGGTAATAATACAGTATCTTTGTGGCAACTCCTGCCTGACAGCTTGGGCAGAGCAGACTACCTCCGACGCTTGCTCTGTCAACGCCTCTTTTTTTTTTTTTTTTTGCCCGACTTCCCCGCCCTAGTGGGGCCAAAATATGCCACCTACGATTTTTATATTATTTTTCCCTTGATCAGGGAACACAAATGAACACTTCTATAAGACAATTTTTTTTTTAATTTTTTGTGCCTGGGTGTGTTACAGGCTATAATTACAAGAGCAGCACAGGGATTAAGGCTTATACTCTCTCACTGAAGAGAGAGATCTGTTTAGAGCAAACATAGGCTTATCTCTATAAAATATTATGGCTTAATTACATCTCCAGATACCATTTATAACTTGTGTAAGGTTGAGCCATTGCATCTGCCTATTTTTTCTAGTGCACTATAGCTACATGGTGGTTGATTGAAAATATATTTTGTGTTTGTACACCAGTAACAAGGTGGGACAGTCAGTGTAACATTTGTTTAACATTTCTCTTGGTCTTCACCATAAAATTAGCCACTTCATAAGGTAGTACAGTATTTTCTTATAGTAATGACCTGCAAGATGCATATTTATGTTGTCAGTATAATGTAGGTACCATAACAATATCAGTGAAAATGAACATATTATTAATGTAATAATTACAAATAATTGTTAAACTTAGAATTAACTAGGAAGTCTCAACACATGCAAAATTGTGTAATTACAGTACTGCAGTGTTTATTTAGAAAATGCACTTTTTGTATACTATGTCATCTGTAATTCTATAAACCATACATTTTTTAACAGAAGAAATATTAAAGTGGGAAGGATTTAGAAATTTCTGTAAAGTAGTGTACAAAGGGTCACATGTTTAATCCTAAGCTGCTTTTAAAATACTGTATAAATAAAAATATAAAAATCAAGAGTTGAATGTAATGAAATGCCCCTTTAAGTGGGCCCCCACTGACACCAATAAATCTTAACCAAACATACCAGACCTCGGTAGATCTGTCATCTACTGGAAGCCAAGACTAGAATCTAGCTCGCCAAGATGAGGGAAGCAGATCAGAGATCAACCACAAAACTGGCAAGTACCCATCAGGAAGCAACAAAACCAGTGACTGCTTGAAGGAAATAAAGTTCCCCTAGGTAAACAAGGCAAACAATAATTACAGCAGTGTAAATAACCTGAACAACAGATCTTAATTGTGGAGCTCAAGGTCTTAATGAGTTAATTTCCCTTTAATTTGAAAGACTGTCTTGTCCCTATCAACACCACCCATAGGGAAGGATAAAACTCGTGCACTGCCCAGAAGTGAGGTGAATCAAGAAGAGTGAGCTCAATCTCTTGAAGCAGGTATATGTGGTGGGGTATTTGGTACTGCAAGCCCACCCAAGGGAAGGTAATAAATTGAAATGGAATGATAGGACACATATTGGGTGGCATAAATGCAAACAAAGTACGAACAAAAACAACGGTTCCCCTGGCTGAACTATTATTCCAGGGAAAACCAGCACCACTTATTTTTTTTTTTTTTTTTTTTTGAGATATATACAAGAGTTGTTACATTCTTGTACAGCCACTAGTACGCGTAGCGTTTCGGGCAGGTCCCTGGAATACAATCCCCTGCCGCGAAGAATCGTTTTTTCATCCAAGTACACATTTTACTGTTGCGTTAAACAGCGGCTACAGTTGAGGAATTGCGCCCAGTAAATCCTCCCCGGCCAGGATACGAACCCATGACATAGCGCTCGCGGAACGCCAGGCGAGTGTCTTACCACTACACCACGGAGACTGCTTGGCTGAAAGCGAGAAGCAGGTGACGAGCCCAGCAGGGACTACAGGTGCTAGACTGGTGACATTAGGTGAGAGTGAGGGGACAGGCTGGCTGAAAGACCTCAGATAATCTGAACTGAATCTAGATGTCTAACATCCTTCAAGCAGTCACTTGTTTTGTTGTGCCTAGGTGCTTTGGCGGAGTTTTCCCCAATTTTGTTGATCTACGATTCCTTTGCCTTGTAGGGCGAGCCAGATTCTGGTGTTGGCTTAAAGCTTGGTAGCACCAGAGCTAAGCTTGAGGATCTACAGAAGAGTTATTCCCAGAAAAAAAAAATCTTAGTTCTGGTATTATATCTGTACTAACTTATAAAAAGTAAGTTTTGCTTGAGACTACACAACATATATAGTATACAGTTGATATACATAGTT